GGCCCCCGGCATAATGACGTGCTTCACAAGCCTTGACTTAATGTGTTCCTGGATGGAATTCATCCAAGCCACAGGTGAGCTATCCAGGGTAAGAGAATGATGGTACCCGTAGTTCTCGCTTCCTGTAATCACGAATGTGACAGACACCTCGGTTTCTGGGACCTCGTATTCCTTGACGCCTAGTCCCCATCCGTCCAGGTCAACAACGAACCGTATGGGCCTGTCAGCGGGATAATGAGTCGTGCACCTGATGCGGAACTCATGGTTCGTGCCCGCGACTTCAAAGTACGCCTCGCCGTTGTCGTCAGCTCTGCTTGAGCCTGAAGTTGCCCACCGGGCCTTGTTCTGACGGGACTGCCCCGGTGGGATATCATCAAAGTCAGCAGCCACCTGGTAGTAGTTGGAGCGGTCCTTCATATAGCGGAAGGTGTACGGCGTGAGGTTGACGATTGTGATGTAGTGGATGTTCGAAATGGGCATCGGGTATGCAGCGTGCTGAACGGCAGGCATTGTCCTTTCACGCCACGTGTTGTCTCTGACATCGCACCTGTCTCCTTCGTCTATGGGATAGTCCAGACGGCATGCGTCTGGGGGACAGTACCCGCGCGAGCAGGCAAACTGGCACAGCCCAAAGTCCTTGATCTTATTCACTGGGTCGCCAGTCGTATCCTTGATCGGCGGTGGTTCATTCAGCCCGCCCTTGTCAGAACACGTGCAGACGCCCCGGGGACAGAACCCAAAGTTGCACGCATATTGACACAATCCGCTGAGGCCGTTGTCCGAACTTCCCCCGGTACATGCAGGAGGAAGAAACTCGGAGACAGTGGGATTTTTGATGGGCTGCTTGCTTGTGCTGCAAGATTCCGAAGGGCAAAAGCCGCGAGGGCATGACCACCCACAGAGACCCGTGTAGCTCTCACTCTTACCCGCAGCTGGGAAGCCTGCTGGGCCTGTGGTAGGAGGTTCAGAGATTGGCGCGCCGATAGCGAGACACTGGCATGCTGAGACGGGGCAGTAGCCGTACTTGCAGGTAAACTCGCAGAGCTTGGTGAACCCAGTCGCGCCGGTGCCCTTGATGCATTTTTGCTCGTCGCGTGATAAAGCCGGCGTGGCGGAGATGGAGCCTGCTGCCATCGCACTCCCAACCCACGCATTCCAGTTGGTGAGACCGCCTTCTGCGCAGTTGTCTGTGATGGAACCCCCGTCGATGGTGGCGATGTTCGTGCCGCCCCTCTGAAGAGAGATGGAGACCGAACCCCTGCCTTGAAATGGCACACTTCCGTGGTAGACGCCGATGCCACCGTCCGGGACGGACGTCCAAGTTCCGGCCTGGGAGGTTCCCCCGACGTTGACAGTAACGTCTGCATGCGAGCCAAGCACAGCCGAAAAGAAGACCCTGTCTTGCATGACTTCGGCCGGCGAGAACTCCAGCTGCAACTGGCTGGCGGTATTACCGGATGTCTCGCCATCACCACACGTAGCTGCAGGGGTTGTTCTGAACCATCCCATGATGCCCTCCTGGGTCACAGTTGCTTTGCCGTTCTTGTAGTAATCGATCCAAAAGGGGAGTGTCATCCTCCAACCGTCGTGGGGCATGTCCCGTGCGAAATTGAAAGGGGCTTCGCCCGTGACAAAGGCTTCCATGGCGTTAGGACGAAGAGGGCCGATGTGATGGGATTCTCCGTAGTCGTTCCAGGAAATGATTTCAACGTAGCTAAGAGGTCAAGTATGTTAGCTACCACCCGGGGGAAAAAGGTATGCGAGAAATCAACGAAAGAGAAACATACTCTGGCTGGTTGTAGACAATTTGAATCCAGCGTTCGTGCCACAGGTCGTCTCCGCGCCATAACCAATTCTTTTTATAGCCAGGGAGATTCGTATAGAACCAGGGCGACGCAGGCATCATGTAAGGCTTACTGGTGTCCTCATCCACTCTCAAATACTGGTAATATGAAGCATCCACATATGTATCCATGTTAGTGTTTCCCCAAGGCCAGGCAGCCCAGTTGAAGAGACCGTCAGCGACTCCTCCCGCTAGCTCTGCTGCTCTCTTGGCTCCCTTTGAGGACCAATCGGGCATGAAGAAGCAGGGAAAGGAGCGCTTGATGTCGACCCAATCTGAAGCCTGTTCGGGGCCTTCGAAAGTGGACACAAGCGGTGTCCCATCGCTATGCTTGAAGTATTCCGGCCGGGTGGCGTATCTCTTCAAGAGGGTGAGAACCTCATCCTTAGGCCACGGGCCCCCGCCGGCGTAGTCGAAGGAAAAGATGAGCTTGAAGCCCATGTCGCTGGCCACCTCAAATACGTTCTCCAGCGACACAGCGTTCATGGGCTCGCCGTGGGCAATGTTGAGGGCGAATCCGTCAATGTGGGCCTCTTGAGCGAGACGGATGTCGTCACGCCAGGTGGCAGGAGAATATCTCCCGGTGTTTCCAACCTGTTTGCGGTCAGTAGTGCTCTAAGGAAGTGACAGCTTGCCGGGAGTATCGTACCATGAAATGCGCAAATACCGCTTTGGCTTGCACATGGCAAGTGCTTGCGAGAATCGCCAAAGGTGCGAGGATTGGAAACCTCATGATTGCTGATTGCGAGTGAGTCGCGACAAAGAGCTACAAAGGCAGTTACCATATCCGATGCTTCATGTCGCAGAAAGCTGTTCCTTAGTTTATAAGTACTTCGCTCAAACCTTATCGCGACACGATTCCGGGCAAAGTCCATATTAGCGTAATCGCGTGAGAAAACTCCTTCGAGTAAAATGTCTCTGCCTATTATTCCGCACACGAGATACCAATATTGGATGTCATTAGATTGCCAAGACACAGAAGATCTTTTTCGATACTCAGCGACACCCTCGCCACCGTGACTTCTACTGTCAAGCCAAACCTGTATGGAGTCATGAGAGTGAGATTGGGGTCAAAGTGCCAAATGGAGGTTGAGGTGCGATGCTTTCCTACGGCACGGGTTCTGAATGACTTGTGGTGTGGACGGCAAAAGCTACTGTCCTCTGATGAAGTTGAAATACGGCTTTCCTCTTTCCGCAGGAGGTCGGAAATACCTCGCCCTGCAGGGCTAGCCCTTGCAATTCTCGGAGCGGCTGGACCGTGACATCTGACAACATGACCAGGGAGTCTTAGGCAGCCAAATTAGAGACTGGCCATCATCTGCGTCCATGTATGACTTCTGTTCGCCAGGCTGGATCAGTGTTCTCCGACAAAGTTCCTTGATTACGGCTGCTGATCAGCCTTTGCAACTTCAGCGATTAAGAGAAAATTCAACGATTGTAGATAATACTGGACAGTCCATGGACTTCATTTGCTCTATTTTTGAGCGGCTTATTTTATCGCCCCCGGCTGTTGCCAGATATCAGCTAAATACAACCCAGCGGAGGGACGGTGGAAATTTTGGTCTATTAACCTACCGAGCTCTCAACCTAGGCTGACATTGGTCCATCTTTCCAGGGGTGAGCAGCAGGCACCCGTGGATCTTGCCGAGCCGAGAAAAATGCTTATTATGAAGCTTGTCTGATGCAGATCTTGGCATCGGCTGCAGGGGTTCGTTAAGGAAAACCCCGGATAGTTGAGTTCTACTGTCCACACTGCAGATATGCAGAGAGGGTTCAACAACGGACCTACTGGTTCTTCCTTACCTACTCTGGTAATACGTATAGTCGCCCTACTCGATTTCCCACCCTTCTTGCGAATTAAATCCAATTCTTGCAATCCTTCACTGTCAGCTTACCGAACCAAACGGGACGAACGGCCGAGCGGCACAGCAAACGTTGGTGGCATAACTTTTACTGAAGTTCCTGCCAAACCATGCACCGCTTCCCCAAGATTGGAAGGTCATTAACATGCCTGCTAACCCAGTCACATGGGGGAAGGTTTCGATATTATTTGATACCATCTCTGGAGCCTATCTGGGCAGCACTTTGTCGCGTGACGATGCCTGCATTGACACCCCGTACGACAGGCTTGGTATCTCTCGTTGTCGTCGTTGTCCGGAATCCTCCCCTCGAGTTTCCGTGAGGGCGGAAATTCAAGCGGAGTTCCACAATGGAACGTTCAAGAAGGTTGCAGTGTCTAAAAGGCGGGCCTAAATCAAAACCATGCTTCGTTTTCAGAATTGACTCATGTTACCTTGATGAGGGAGAAGAATCGAATAACTAGATTAGCAGTTGCTTACGCACAAGGAAAATCTACAGTCAATATTTCATTCCGCACCTCATTACCTTTGCATCCACACCTAACTCACCTTTCTAAGCATCTGAGTCCTCGATTCTGAAACTGTCAAGCAGCTTTAGGTGCCTAAGACATGGCATCTAAAAGCACAGCGCCGTTTCCGTGGATTCGTCTTCCATTAGAGCTGAAGCTCATGGTCCTAGAAGAACTATGGCAACTAGGCCCTACTGCTGGGAAGAATTCTTTTACACGCTGGTCTACAGTATCGATGTATTGGTATAAGTTTTTCACCTCTCGGCTCTGGAGAACAATAAAGCTCAGGTCAGACATGCCATTTGATATGAAGGACTTCAAAATATTTACCACGCACTCGAAGAAAGTTTGGGTAAGAAATATTTCACTGCATGTGAGTTTGCAAGAGTGCCAACAATGCGGCCACGAAGAAAGCGCGGAGACCAAGGCAGATAGCAATAAGATTTTCTCCAACAGCCTTCTAAGCCTTTTAAATGTGCTCTCTAGTTGGCCTGGGAAGGTACAGGGTCCAGAAGCCGACGTCATGCTAGAGCTCAGCGCTAGCTCTCCGAGCGATCCCATGCATCATCAGACATCTTTTCAGGATCATGAGCGCCAGGTCATCGCCCAGTCCCCTGGACACTCGAGACTGAATGCCAAGAAGCGACTTCTAGGCCAGCTTCTTGAACTCCGACTAAGTAGATTTGGTCTTCCAGAGGTTACTGTGATCACCTTTGTTCTTTTGCCTGCTCTCACGGCTTCTGTCCAATCGACGTATGCTACTGTTCTGCACAGGGAGCGCTCAATCTTATGGAGCCTACGAGCAAAAGCAACGCCAGGACTCTAGACGGTGCCGCCGATGACCACGGTTTATGCGCGTTTACTTGCGCGCGTGGGTACTGCCCGTCACTCTGCGCTGATCCAGACTTGGGCCAGGCAACAGATCTCTGGCAGGCTGGCTACTTTGTCCCAGAGTACAGCATCGAAGAGGACGACGTCTTTCCCAGCATTCTTTCCACCGACACTACGTGCGATCCGAGTGTTAGGCCCCAAACTCTCGATGATTTGGTCAAGGTCATGAATGACGATACTTACAACCCTGTCTGCCGAAACCTTTGGGCCCTTCGCATACTTTCCGACTCTCTTGACAGCTTTCAGGCGGACTACACGGACGCTCTCAGTGGATACGATTCCGTGTTCGGCTGCTACGTCGACTACGTCAAGGAGTCAATCAACCCCCAGCTCACATCATACATGGACTTCGACACCGGGGCAGGTAACAAGTTCTTTACGTGCTCTTGGACCGTCCAATCCAGGACAAGAGAAGGTCCTTGCCCGCCGGCGGACAAGTTCTGGCAACAGCAAGCGTCTTGGTCAGTGACGTATACTTTGTCTGATGCGGATGGCTTCTACGCCGCCGTCGAAAAAGATCTTGGCATCGAGAAGGACTGGATTTCCTTTGGCAACTGGCAGCAGACGCCAGACAGCGAATGCGCCGATGCGCCAGACTGGCGCCCCAAAACACCCAAGATTAGCTGCCGCAATCAGCTTCTCTACAAAAAGGGTATCCCGGTCAGCAGCAACAACGTCAAGGTGTCAAACCCTAAGGACGTTATTGAGGCGGCGATGCCGTCGATCAGCGACTTATCCATGCGCGTCTTGAATATGTACGTGATGGCAGGCCTTGGCTACGCGGAGGATAACAGGTGACATGGTGACGGCCGTTGCTATGCCTGTGCTGATGCTTGAAGGCGTGATTGAGAACATGAAGCAGATCAAGAGTATTGGCGCCGAACAGCGTGAAAGAGAGAAAAAGACCCTTATTATAGAGGTTCTTTCTATCGTTCTCTTCGTCTTACCATTCGCAAGTGAGATCGTTGGAGCTGCGTTCGGGGGAGCTGCGATGGTTGCTCGTATCGCAACTCTGATTGGGGAGGTCGGAAACGCTGCCCTTACTATTGAGAGTATCGCCAGCGACCCTGTAGGCGCCTTTTGCCCTCCTATCGCTTCTCATTGGGCCCTATGGCGGCGCGTCGGGGCGAACGTCCTCACAGGCCATCGCTGAAGCGGCGGCGGCGAGAAGGGCTCTTTCCGGGGAGAAGATCTCGCTGTTTGGCCAAAGTTTTGTTGCCCAGGACGCAAAGATCCAAAAGATTGTAAATGTTTGTACCTAGACATTAGATAGGTCAGCTAAAGCAAAGTTTCGGCCCAGGAGAAGTCTGAAGATTGTGAGATGATGAGACAACAAGCTAATCTGCCGGGGCATTCAATCCCACTATTGACAACCCTTCACCACCGTTGTCGTCGTTGTCGTCGTCGTCGCTTCTATTGTTGTCGTCGATATCGTTATAGTCGTCCTCGTCCTCGTCCTCATCGTCGCTGTCACTACTATCGCTTTCGATAGTAGTAATCAAGTGCATAGGAAATGCCGCGCAGACGCAGGAAAATTAGTAGGCCTTCCCTTTTCCTGGGTGCCTGGTACCTTTCGGTGACTGTGCAGTACCTCGACAATCGACTTCCGAGCTTGTTGGACTACTGCGTAGATGATGACTAGGGTAGTTCGGCCCATCAGGTCATGCATTACCCCTGTAAACAAGCAGGGGTATCTGGACCTTTAGCAGGCAATGGCGCTCTCGCATTTAGTTCAAAAGGGTCGAACCTCCCAACGTGTCCTGCCGCTACTGATCACCAACCTCATTCTTTCAACTAAACAATACGCTATACTTTTCTCACTCTTGGTCACTTTTGAGCTGTATACATTGGCATGAAAACGTACATTCGGGCGTAAGAAAGATGTCCTTCTCTATCAGTCGTCGCTTCGCCGTTTCGAGACTCGCGCGCTGCACATCCTCGACGCAGCGTGCGATGACATTTTGCGGGCAGTCCCCGTGTAGCCAACATCGGACAGGCTGTGCTCTTCTGCCCTTTACTTTACGGCATCTACCCCCTTCCCTCAGACAGATGTCTACCTCGTCATCGAAAACAGCCAGCCACACAGGCGATGAGACGCCCGCCAAAGACTACAATGCGATGGACTTGGCCGCCTTTAATGGGAAGGAACTCCCGGCAGACTTCATTGACGTAGAAGATTGCTACATTGTTCATGGAATTCGACACCATGAGAACTTTGCGAGATCAATAGAGGTTACACAGCTCTGCTTGGAAAAGGGAAGAGAATTTGCTAGAGCCCGCAATGCGCGTCTCATCATGAGCAATGAGGTCCCGCAGATGTCTTCCGAGGTGGAGAAGCCGTACTGCATATGGTATCCTGACCTCGCCACAGAAGACACGTACAGATCCCTGGCTCAACGCTACCCAGACATGCGTTACAATGTCGGGCGTGCTTGTGCTGTTGCGGGATACAAGGCGCTTTACGACGAACTTGACCTGTTACCAGATGTGTCCATCGCCGAGGAAGCCCGAGACAATGGCCATATGGATATATTCGACGCTATTGTCAACCAACCCGTGAGATACGCTGTTATGAATGACTACACGCGAACCGTCGAACTGGAAAATCCCAGCGCCGGAGTCTGCCTTAACGGCGATGCTGCTGTCCGGTCCTCACTAGCACGCCCAATGCCCAAAAAGAAGTTCAACGTCACCCGTACTGATGGTCACTATTTCGATATACAAGAAGACAAGAATGCCGGACCATCATCGTGGCCGACACCCGAGTGCTCAACACTCGAGGCCCGCTTCACCGAGCTCGCCTACATGCCGCTGCCTCGCGACCTTCCAGCTCTCAACAAGGACATCCTCATCCTTCTAGCCGCGTGGGATGGCAACGTCGAACGCTATTCGCGGCTGAGGCGGCCTGTGTTAGTTCCTAACGAACTGACAGCCGTCCTTCGCGGGGTGTACCACCATACTCCATTTGCACGATGGCTCTCTACATGCGTCGATGATATTGTCCGTCCTGAGACCACCCTCAGCGACCTCGTTTGGCAGGCTATTCACGCGCGTTCCATAATGAATGGGGATCTCTCGCGTATCGACAGCGAGACGGATGGTGAAACGCTTCCCTCATTATTCTGGTGGCCGCACCACCCTCACGAAACCACACTTCGCGAGCTCGTATGGAGGCGACCCGATCTTAGACACCAGGTGACTCTGGCATGTATCGCATCGAGCTACCATGAACTCTATAACGAGCTCACAGCCGGCACGGAACCGACGCAGCAGCAGCTGGAGATGGCTGTCCAGGTAATGAACCCCCACTACCGCGAAGACGTCCTTCGCCGCGCCGATGAGCACGGAGTCAAGTTGTTCCCCTATACAGGGAGTCACGACTGGGAACATACGCCTTGGCCGCATCCGACTCGCTGGTCGAGAAGTTACCTGCGACCTGACAAGGAGATATGGAAGGACGAATACACACCTCGCATGCCAAAGGAGCTTTTCAACCGGCCAGACGATCACGACCATGACTGGGATGAGTGGTGTTGGCTCGCCGGTGATCCGCTCAGTCTCGTCATGAACGAACAGATGGACGAGTGGATGTGTTTCATCAGCGGAACAGACGACGCGAGACGGAAGGCTGCAAAGCAAGCGAGTAGTCCAAGGAACCCTTGGTATCTATACTCTTCGGGGGAAGACAAACAACGTCGTTCGACCCCGGGGCCGGTGCCATCGCGCCCGAAGAGTTTCGATGATGAGGACTACTTTCCGTGAGTTTGCGCGGTGTCATGGGAACCGCTTGGATATCGGAGTAGTGGAATATTCGCCAAATAGAGCTGGCGGGCGGCCTGCGGCAAACGGCAATACTGGAAGGTGGCGGAATATCAAGTCACGGCAGAGTTTGCGAAAATGTACATATGAAAAATGAACCTAATTCTCTCCTCTAATCTTGTTACCCCCGAGAGATGCTCAGTGCTGTGTCTTTTGGTACTAAGAGGTTAAAGCTCAACATCAGTCACAGCCATGATCTCGCGGACAACGTCCAGGCTTCGAGCTTTGATGCTGTCGACTGCCGGTGATATTACTGGAATCAACAATCCCGGACTAGCCACTAAGTGGGATCTTCTTCCATTTTTTGATTGACCATCAAGTCCACTTGTCTCACATCGTTGGTTCTGCGGGTGATGTGGATAGATGATCCCCAGGTACAATGAATGAGCTGCGGGACATGCATAGGCGCAATACGACATAAAACATTGAACGAGTGCGCTATTCACTCCACATGAGTTAGAAGGGCAGAAATTCAAATCTGGATAGGAGAATTTGAATATTGGGTGGTACTAAGTATTATCGAGAACATGATGTGATGTTCCTAGGGTGATCATGATCGGTGTGCATACTGCTCAAAATTAGGTACCAACAAGCCGGGTTTACAGCTGGGCTAGCGTTCCTAGAATTTGCTAAACAGGTCACTCATCAACCCTTGAATGACAAAAGCTGACTTTGGAAGACGTCCAATACGCCTAGTTGTCGGCGTGAAATTGACAATGAAGCCCAAATCTGACGTACCAAATTTCACAGCTGACTGATTGGAACTTTTGGCTCATGTTCAAGCGTTTACCCGTTAGGGTTCACCGACATCTGATAGCCGTCCACTGGCTTCAGCGGTCAAACATTGACGCCGTTTGGCGACGCCACCACGAAGCTTATTCCCAGACGCCAGTCATCCAGCAGCGAACGCCAGCGGCCCGTTCATCGCTAGTGTTCAGCCCTGTACTCGTCACAGGTGGTCCAACATTGCACCGGTCCTGCGTGCGTGGCTTGACGGAAGAGAGACTTTACTGCATCCGGACAATGAGGGGGAGGCGCTGTCGAAATTGCTTGGGGGACCCCAAGCGCGAAGCGAGGCGGCCCAAAGTCCTGCCGGCTAAAGAGCGAAGCGCGCCCCCAAAGGCGCGAATCCTCCCAGTCGGCGCAACTCTTCATTTGCAAGGCCAGTCGGGCCCTGTTTGTTGTCTGCAGCCACACGGCACAGCGGTCATGGCCAACCTGGGAACATAGCCAGCCAACACAGTTCCAACACGCGGATCACCACCAAAAGTCGCTCCGGCGTGCGGCGCAATCAAGCTCATCGTGGCGTCAATCCCTGCGCTCCTGCGCCGAGATGGCGCTGGGTCGGGCTTAAGACGCCTTGCGAGGCGTTGTTTGAGACGTTGGTTGGTAGTGTCGAACGGCGTGTTGGAAGCGGACGTTGGAATCACCATCCGACAGCTGCCTGGCTGTGCGTGAAGGGCGTGTTGGGGATTGAAGTATAAAGAGAAGGACTTCGCAGTCATGTCTTCAAGATACTGGATCATTAGAATCATCATCACCAGCAAGCAAATGCATCAGACTTGAAGCAACATCATCTCAATCGATCATCATCTCAAGACCAACCCAGCACACCACTAACCAACACACTCACAATGGCATCCACCACCATCCGTAAGGCCGTCATCACCGAGTTCGGCGACGAGTCCAAGGTCAAGGTCATCCAAGACACCATCGACGCTCCCGCCGCCGACCACGTCCAGATCGCCACCATCTACTCCGGCTTCTCCGGCGCCGACATCAACATGCGCAAGGGCGTCTACCCGCTCCAGAAATCGGCCCCGCTAACCCCTGGCTACTGCCTCGTCGGCACCGTCAAGACCAACGGGCCCGGCGCCTCCAAGTTCTACCCGGGCGACACCGTCGCCGCCATGACCGTGTACGACGCCGAGGCGGAGCTCGTCAACATCCCAGAGAAGTACCTCGTCCGCGTGCCCAACGGGCTCGACCTGCAGCAGGCGACCGCGCTCGTGCTCGACTGGGGCACCGCGTACGCCATGGTGCACGAGCACGCCAAGGTCGCCAAGGGCCAGCGCGTCTTCGTCCACGGCGTCAGCGGGGCCGTCGGGTTCGCGCTGATGAAGCTGTGCCAGCTGCAGGGCGCCGAGGTGTACGGCACGGCGTCGGAGCGCAACCACGCCGCCGTCCGCGCCGAGGGCGGCCACCCGTTCGTGTACACGGACAAGAACTGGATGTCGGCCATGAAGGAGATGGGCGGCGCGGATGCCGTGTTTGACCCGCTCGGCTTCGAGAGCTGGGACGAGAGCTGGACGATTTTGTCCAAGAGCGGCATGCTGATCGGGTTTGGGGGCAACTTGAACTCGCTCGGCGGGGATGGTAAGGCGCCGCGGTCGACGGTGGTGCCCACGATGAAGCTGCTGGCGCGCGGCATGGTGCCCTTCTGCCCCAAGCGCACGTGGTTTTACTACATCACCCGGGATGACGCGACGTTTGAGCCGAACTTGAAAGCCATGTTTGGATTGCTGGGCGAGGGCAAGATTAGGGTGCCTATCAAGAAGGTGTGGGATCTGGAGGATGTGCAGGACGCGCATCGCCAGTGGGCGAGCGGCACAGGCGTTGGGTCACTGATCATTCGTGTTGGCGACGCCAAGCAGCAGTGATGATGACGATCGCTGACTCGAGTGTTTTTGCTCTCAAAGCGTTGCGAGTTTTGCTCTTGATTGATGAAAGTAGACAAATCATTTCATAGTTGAGATTCAGAGGCCATGACGATAGTCGCCAATTCTTACATGCTTTAAGGACCTTCCTGATTTTGCTTGGTGCATGTGGACGCGACTTGTGCGGCGTAAGATCATTACGTGCCTGAATGTTTCTGCCGGGATCATTTTGTTCCTTGCTGACATCGAACACCTACTTGAAGGCCATGTTCCCCTTTTTCATCTCACCACCACCACTCATCTCAAACTCAATTCGGCCGACTGACAGTGTAACGGCAGGGCGATAAGATAAAACCCAGGCTTGCATGAGCGACGTGGTTGGGGAAATCGATCCATCACTCTCACACGACCGCAGCAGCCACCCGAAAGCCAAGCGAAGCGCCCGCATCAATTGGCACTTTTTTCTCTTCCGCATCTCATCCCTTCTTCATCAACTCACGCCGAAATCTCATCAAAAACACACTACAATTCAAGGCGGTCATTTCAGACATCAAAACTGCAACCTTCGACATGGGCTGGCTCGCCCAACTGGCCATAGCCGGCCTCCTCGGCGCCGCCACCGCAGCGAGCAAACACAAACTCCACGACTTCGACTGGGACACCATCACGCCCACGCACAAGCTCTCCTACCATCCCTGCTACTCCGAGTACAACTGCACGCGCCTCATCGTGCCCCTCGACTGGCTCGACGCATCCAACCCGTACAACGTCACCCTCGCCATCATCAAGCGCCCCGCCAAGGTGCCCGACACGGACCCAGCGTTCGGCGGCACCATCTTCACGAACCCGGGCGGACCCGGCGGCTCCGGCGTCGAACTCATGCTCTCAGAGGGCTACGCCCACCAGGAGACCGCCGACTCCGACCGCAGGAAGTACGAGATCCTCAGCTGGGACCCGCGCGGCGTGCAGTTCACCACCCCGCGGCCGGATTGTTATGGTGAGGACAGCCTGGCGCGCGGCACCGATATGATTCAGAGGCTGGCCACGGGGCCGATGAGTGCTAATCCAGATGCGCTGAGGAGGCAGTGGGCCAGGGTCCAGGGGTATGGGAAGCTTTGCTCGCAGAGCGCGGTGAATGGGTCGATTATCCCGTTTGCGACGACGGCGTCGACTGTTCGGGACATGGTTCACATTCTGGATAAGATCCAGGAGCTGCGTGAGGAGGAGGCTGCCGCCGCCCGCGGAGGTGGGGATGGTGATGCGCAGAAGCCGTTGCAGGCTCGTGAGGAGAAGGGACCATTGAGGCTGCAGTACTTTGGATTTTCGTACGGCAGTCTTCTTGGAAACACTTTTGCGTCGATGTATCCCGGTCGCGTTGGCAGAGTCATCGTCGACGGCATCGTGGATGCCGATGACTACGTCGAAGGAGTGAGTCCATCGCGTCTCACAATGATGGGTGGGAGCAAGATTGCTGACCTCATTTGACAGGGCTGGAGGACAAATCTTCAAGACACCGAGGAACTTCTCGAACAATTCTACAAGACCTGCTTCACCGCAGAATCAAAGTGCGCCCTCTACCGCCACGCAGACACGAAATGGGAGGACATCCGATCACGCGTGTCAGACCTCGTCAAGCGTCTCGACGACGAGCCCATCTCCGTGCTCGACGGCAAGCTAACCCACATCCTCACGGGCTACGACGTCGTCGACGCCTTTAAGAGACCCCTCTACGACCCCTACCGCAAGTTCGTCCCTCTCGCCGACAAGCTCAGCGCCGCTGTAGACGGCAACTACACCCTCCTCCTCAACGACGCCGTCCAGTCCATCCCCGAGCTCGACCAGGCCTGCGCCGCGCCCAACGGCACCGCGCTACCCTCCACCTTCGGCGACGGCGGCCAGAGCATCCTGTGCGGCGACGCCGAGGACCACACGAACTTGACGCTGGCGGCGTTCTCCGCGTACGTTGCGGAGCTGGTGGACCAGTCGCCGACGTTCGCGGGGTACTGGTCGCAGATCCGGGTCGCGTGCTCCGCTTGGGGGGTCCGGCCGAAGTGGCGGTACACGGGCCCGTTTAGCACGCCGACGCACGACCCGGCGGTGGTGGAGGGCAAGCCGGCGGCGCCGCTGTTGTTTCTTTCGTCGAGGCTGGATCCCGTGACGCCGTTGAGGAATGCGTACAAGATGAGCGCGAGGCATCCCGGGTCGACGGTGGTGGTGCAGGAGTCAATTGGCCACTGCGCGTTCGCGACGGGGAGCAAGTGTATGAAGCAGGTCATCCAGGAGTATTTCGAGCACGGGGTTGTGCCGGAGGACGGCAAGGTGTGCAAGCCGGACTGCGATCCCTGGGATGGGGATGATTGCTTGCCCTCGACGAAGGGGATGAGGGTGGCGGGCTTGGGGCCGCCTCACGAGATGTCCTTTGCATGAGTTTATCGTACCCCACGGCTTCGACAGATGGAAAAGAGGTAGAGCGGCGTCGTCATGTGGGCGACCGTTGCGCATGGGGAGGGGGAATCACAAGAATTACACAATGTCTTGAAGGTCCAAGACAACGATGGTCAGACTGCGATAAAATGTATCCTGAACAAGCTCAATAGTCAGCCTCCAACGGGTAATCTTCTTTCCCGCTGAACGCCATCTGAGACTCTTCCGTCATCATTGGATGGGACAGAGATCTGGGAATTCGCAGCTGACTGCAGGGTGCAGATGTCAGACCCACGTAGGCGCAAGCTGAGGGCGATCACCGAGGTGTGAATACCCGAGATGAGCACCGTCCTCCACGTCGACTTCTCCCTAAAATGTTTGGATGCGTGATGATCGCATTTGAAGTAGTAGCCTTCTGTTGAAAATCCCTGTCACTACGACAGTTTTCCTTCACTCTCCATCGCCGCGCCGTTCAAAGTGTACCCAGCTCACCGCCGGCGATAATGTCTTACTCAGAACCAGTCTTCCCACCTCAAGTCCAACGTTACACGTGCTAGAAGCCCTAAGCTGAGACATGCCTCTAGAAAGATATACTTCTTTTCCTGCTCTTTCGCCCCGCGATAGCGTGCGGCGCTGCAGTCAAATACGAGAAGCCGTTGCCCCGCGTCAGCCCTGGGGCGATCTGATTCTGGCATTTCCGCCGCCAAATGTGCCGGTGCCGTCTGTCCCCAGACTTGGCGGGACGATCGACGATGCACGCATCCGACTAAGCAGGCTACAGCAGCGCCGCCGACGGGCAGAATCGTGGGGGAAAGCTTCTTGAGAACATGCAATTGTCATGTCATCCCTAGCTGTCCACTCAACGATGAATCTTTTCAGCTCCTCGGAAGCCAAGGGTAGAACATCACCCTAGGGTCCCAGTCAGCCCCAGGATCGCTTCCGCCGTAGTGGCTTACGCGCGACGTCGGCATTGGCTGAAGTGACGCCACAAGCGGGACGTTTGGCCTCGTTTGGCTGGGTGTTGGCTATCTACACGAGGTTGATCGGCCTTTAACCGGAATTGGTATGAGGCATGCAAGAGGGATACCAGCTGAAAGAAGCGATTTTTGGTCGAGAGAAGACATGACGAAGAATGAAAATAGATTATCGTTGGGGTGTGCAGATGCATTTCGTATTGGCTATCCTCGTGATGGATGCGGCGTCGACGGTTGGGGGAGGACGACGTGTTGATCGCGGGCTGGGTGCTGCTGTTTGGGCACGACGAGGATCGTGAGAGTAATGGACGGTCGGGTCATACGCTTCACCGAGTTTGTGATCTCTATGCCTTATGCTGTGTTGATGAGCAGGATCTCACTAGCCTGGATGGCTATATAAAGTCGACATGATCTCTAGAGAATTCTAGAGAATAACACCATCTCGACATCTCATCGCATCATCTCACAGACCAAAAACCTTCATCGTTCACAACCCATCCTCAGACTTCAGTCTCCGTATCACTCCCGCTTTCAACATGAAGTTCGCCGCAACCTTCCTCACGGCTCTTGCCTTCGTCCTCCCCGCCCTCGGCCACCCCCTCGAGGAGCGCGACGACGTGCAAACCGTCCACCTCACCTTCCACGGCGGCCCAGCCTCCTACGACCTCGCCATCCCCGCCGACGGCAACACCCACCCCACTAGTAAGTCACACACGTCGCCACTCCCTCATGTCACTTAGGTAAACAAACACCAAGGTTAATCAATGACTGCAGACAACAACATCGCCATCGACAAGATCGACGCGAACGACTACTTCGCCTATTCCAACTGCCAGTTCAACACCGCCGGCGAAAAGACGCTTGTCCAGTCCATCAACAACCAGAACGGCGACCAGGCCATCATCGTCGGCCCGCCCCAGCCCATCATCTCGGTCAGCTGCCAGGGCTTCTGCCTGGGCATCTACGGGGATTGCTACAAGAACGGCCAGTTCGTCGCGTCGTGCTGCAACGGCTTCTGTGCTGCGAACAAGTGCAGACCCTGGATCGCCCCCAACTAAGGTGGACTACTTGTTGCGAATGATTGGCCTTACGCGTCGTTCGCATGAATGCAGGCGTCGTGTCGTGGTGGATGGTTGCTGTTTGCTGTGAGCTTTATTCATATATAATTATCTAAGCTCGAACACACTTTTACCCGAATCAATGAACATCATCTGCTCGTACCTACGGTTTGAGTGATGTATGATTCGACACCGTCTATTGCCTGGTTAGGCACCCGGTCCCTCGGGCCGGAGATGTGGGTCCCATATCGGCCCCGAGGCCCGGTAAGCCCCACTCGGCTTTCACGGCAATTCGATTTGTAATCTCGGTCGTCAGCTGGTGAGAAACTAGGCGTCGTTCTTCGCCGTTTGAGTCACACGAGTAAGCTTATTCTGACACCTGAATGTCCATGGGCTTCGAGCCGCGTCAGTCGTGCGTTCTCAATAGTGACGACTACTCATGGCTTCTGGGATAAGTTAACGGGTGGGGACGACCGGGTAAACTTGACTTGGCGGATAATTTCCTGTTGGGTGGCTGTGTCGTACGTTAAGCTGCCTATCTTGCCCG